AATAAACCTTTAAAAAAAAGTAAAGATGGGGAAGGGGCAGCAGGAGAGGGAAAAGGAGAGAAGCAGAATCCCCGCTGAGTGGAGTGCGGAGTCTCGGGGCTCAATTCCATGACCCCGAGATCATGACCTGAGCGAAAACCAAGAATCGGACACTCAACTGACTAAGCCACCCAGGCACCCCAAAAAGAATTTCCTTTTTTTTTTCAAAGATTTTATTTATATGAGAGAGAGAGAATGAGAGCCAGAGAGCACGAGAGGGAAGAGGGTCAGAGGGAGAAGCAGACTCCCCGCCGAGCAGGGAGCCCGACGTGGGACTCGATCCCGGGACTCCAGGATCATGACCTGAGCCGAAGGCAGTTGCTTAACCAACTGAGCCACCCAGGCGCCCAAAAAAAGAATTTTCTTAACTGATAAAGAATGTCTCAGAATCGAAAGTACAGTAACTGTCATCTGTTCAAACACTAAAACATTCCCTTTAAAATCAGAAAAAAAGACAAAAATGCTCCCTATTTCCACTTCTGATTGACAGTTTGCTGAAGGGCTTAGCTTTTGGAAGGAAACAAGACAAAAAATGTAAAGTTTAGGCATTAGGCAGAAATAAAACTCTTCATGTTGCAGATTATATGACTAGGCAAGTCAAAAGAATCTACAAACAAATTGATGAAATCAATAAAAGTTTCACAAGGTTGAATAAAGTCCCAGGAGGGGGGTGCCTGGTTGGCTCAGTCAGTTAAGCATCTGCCTTTGGCTTAGGTCATGATCCCACGGTTCTGGGATCCTGCTGCCTGTCCAGAGGAGAGCCTGCTTCTCCCTTTCCCTCTGCCCCGACCCCACCCCCCAACTCATGTGCTCTCTCTTGCTCATTCTGCTCTCTCAAAATAAATAAAGTCTTAAAAAAGTCCTAAGAGGGTTTTTCATGGAACTTGACAAGCTGATTGTGAAATTTATTATTTATTTATTTATAATTATAAGAGTGTGCAAGAGTAGGGGGACGGTGCAGAGGGAGAGAGAGAATCCCAAGCAGACTCCCCCCTGAGTGTGAAGCCCCGTGCAGGGCTGGATCTCACAACCCTGAGATCATGACCTGAGCCGATGTCAAGAGTTGGACACTCAACTGACTGAGGCACCCAGGTGCACTGATTGTGAAATTTAGACGGAAGCCTAAAGGATCACCAGTAAGAGCCAAGACACTCCTGAAGCAAAACAAGTTGGGGGACTCGTTCCACCAGATACCAAAGTTTATTCTAAGATAATTAAGTTCAGTGTGGCCCTGGGGCAGGAATAGACAAATTGACCAGTGGAACAGAATCAAGAAGCAGCATTGACTCTGGTATGTGACAGAAGGGACACTGCAGACCCCTAAAGGAGGGAGGGACCATTTAATAAGTCATGCTGAGACAACAGGTTATCCTCATGGAGAGATGAACTGGATTTCTACCTTCTACCATACACAAAGTCAATCCCAGGATTAACAGCTTACATAGAAAAGGCAAAATTTTTAACAGAGGAGAATATGTTTATGACCTACGAGTGAAGGAAAATTTCTCTAAGCACAGGAAGCACTAGCCATCAAGGAAAAGATCGGTCCCTTTAACTACATGAAAAATAGCTTTTTGGGGGGTGCCTGGCTGGCTCAGTCGGTAGAGCATGTGACTCTTGGTCTCGGGGTTGTGAGTTCAAGCCCCACGTTGGATGTAGAGATTACTGAAAAAGAAAGTCTTTTTAAAATAAATAAATAAAATTAAAAATACAAATAAAAATAGCTTTTATTCATCAAAAGTTACCATAAAGAATGTGGGAAGATAAGTTTTAAACTAAGATAGGGTATTTACCACATAATGTGTGAACAAAAGGTTAGTATTTAATATATGAAGAACTTAAAAAAAAAAAAGTGAGGAAGAAAAGACAACCCTGCAGAAAAATAAGCAAAACTCATGAACCGAAGAGAAAAATGAATAACACATCAACTTATGGGAAGACGTTCTGCCTCTTGAGCAATCAGGAAAGCACAGCTTACCACATGAACTTTATACCCACCAGCTTGGCAAAAATGGAAAACTGCCAACACCACCTGGCATACAGAGCGGTGAGGACTGCCAGCCACTGCCTCCGGGAGCATCAGCTGGTGCAACAACTTTGGAGAGCAATGTGGGCTTGTGAAAGGTGGAACATTCACCTGACCTCCAGACCATTGATTCTCCCGGAGAAACCTGCGTCTTCTCCTTCTGTCCATCAGGAGGCATCCAGGGTGTCCATGGCATTGCTGAATGGCAGACAGCACAAGCTGCCCCCATCATGGGAAGGGATTCACCTGTGGGGTGTTTATAAGTGGAACAGTGGACAGCTGTGAGAAGGGTGAACTATGGTTGCATGCCCAAACACAGACAGATCTCACACATACCTCAAGCAGAAAAAGCAAATCACAGGACACAAGCAAAAGTTAAAATAACGTGGTCCAGAGCAGAATTCAGGGAACATAAGGGAATGATAAGCACAGAATCGAGGACTATTTATTTCCTCAGACAGGAAGCCCCAGGATGCAGTCAAGGGAGGAGCTAACATGGGGCGCTTGGCTGGCTCAGTTAGTAGGGCATGCGAGTCTTTTTTTTTTTTTTAAGATTTTATTTATTTGAGGGGCGCCTGGGTGGCTCAGTCAGTTGGGTGTCTGCCTTCGGCTCAGGTCATAATCCCAGGGTCCTGGGATCGAGTCCCACATCTGGTTCCCCGCTCAGCGGGGAGTCTGCTTCTCTCTCTCTCTCCCCCTCTACCCTTCCACCCCTGCTTGTTCTCTCTCCCTCTCTGTCAAATAAATAAATAAAATCTTAAAAAAAAAGATTTTATTTATTTGGGGGTGGTGAGGGACAGAGGGAGAAGCAGACTCCCCGCTAAGCTGGGAGCCTGATGCAGGGCTCGATCTTGGGACTCCGGGATCATGACCTGAGCTGAAGGCAGAGGCTCAACTGACTGAGCCACCCAGGCGCCCCAAGCATGCAACTCTTGATGTCAGTGTTGTGAGTTCAAGCCCCACACTGGGCATGGAGCCTACTTAATTAAAAAAATAAAAATTGGGGGCGCCTGGGTGGCTCAGTTGGTTAAGTGACTGCCTTCGGCTCAGGTCATGATCCTGGAGTCCCGGGATCGAGTCCCACATCGGGCTCCCTGCTCAGCAGGGAGTCTGCTTCTCCCTCTGACCCTCCCCCATCTCATGTGCTCGCTCTCTCTCTCATTCTCGCTCTCTCAAATAAATAAATAAAATCTTTAAAAAAAATGGGTGAAGTGTATGGCAAATGAACTACAGCTCAATCAAGCCATTAAAAAAAAAGTTGAGGGCCTGGGGGAACATCACACTGCACAGCTAAAATGGAGTCCCTTATGACAAGTTTGAGGGTCTGGAATTTATGTGGTAGGCAATTAGAAATATCTAAGTAAAGACTTACCTAATGAAAGCACAGTACACAAACTTAGGGCTCTTCTCTAACAAAATTATTCACATATTTTACATACATTCCTAAAATATATGCCAAAATCACAAAGACAACAGAGAACAGGAAAAAGATGATGCGACAGGATTCTGATGAAGCCACAAGCTGTGACTATTAGGAAAGCTGTTTTGCTTCATCACTAAATGCCACAGATGGATGTATCAGCGTCGTATTTATGCAAAACCACAAATTCATCTGTGTCATGTCTTCAAATACCGTAATGTTCTAAGCTTAATTATGAAAACTGCATTAACAATTGATCTGCCATATTTTAGAGTGAGAGAATGAACTGTGTAATTTGTTTTTCATTGGATGACAGTACTCTACAGATCATGTTTTATATATTAGATTCACTTTAAATGCTATCAGAACCTCCACTCCACTGATATAAAGTATGTGTGATGCAAACACATTTGTCTGAAGTCTAATTTAACCTAAGATTCCAAAAGAGTTTTATTATACAAAATAAGAAAACTAAAGAGACAAATCTGACATTCAAAGGGGGAAAAATCTGGATATTAAATATCTAATACAAAGGAAAAGGCAAAGCACTCAAAATCAATCTGAAAATCAAAGAAAAAAAAAAAAACAGGGGGCACCTGGGTGGCTCAGTAGGCTAACAT